AGATGCATATTACGAGGGAAACAGTAGTTGATGACAACACTACCCAACCAGATTCTCCCAGGTATTTGTGTTGTTTTCTATGCATCCATTTTATTTAGTTATTTATATTTGGTTTCTCGAGACAGGGTTTCTCTGGGTAACAGCCCTGGCCGTCCTGGAACTCACTCTGTAGCCCAGGCTGGCCTCGAACTCACAGAGATCTACCTGCCTCTGCCTCCGGAGTGCTGAGATTAAAGGCATGCACCACCACCGCCCAGCCTAGGCATTCATATTAATTATATATATTCTAAAGCAGTTCTTAATCTGCTTAAACAAGCATAAAAAAATAACATCCATGGCTAATAACATACTGAAATTGAAGGCAAATATACACTCATATTTTCCATAACTAGTGGAAAGTCATGGGAAGAGCTAAGACGTATAATCAGAAAAATAATTTAAAAGAATCTTATTACCTTTATTTCAAGGGTGTTTTGCTTATATGTCTGTGTACCATATATATATATATATATATATATATATATATATATATATCATATATTATATTATGCCTGGAGTCCAGGGACGCCAAAAGAGGGGGTCAAATGTCCTGGACCTGGAGTTAAAGACAGTTGTAAGCCACTATTGTGGTCTGAGGCTCCCAATCAACCCAAGCAGACACAAGAGGTTACCACAAGGCAATATTTAAGGCAGGCAGCACAAGAGAAGAGGGTGGGAAGGGGGCTGATCTATCAGGGCCACAGAACACTCAGGAGTTGAACTACAGCCCCAAATGTTAGAGTCAAGTTGAAGCAAGTTTTTAAGCCAATAATCACAAACATTTGTTGCCAAATTACAGTTACAGTTTTTATCAATCAGGATTTAGAGATGGGGGCTTCCTTCAATGTTCCATTGTCATCAGACATACAATGTAAGCTTTTCAGTCCTACCAATCAGATTCATTTGTGCCTTCTGTTGTTAGGAACAGCCATATTGTTTCTAGAGAACTAAAGATGCATAAGACTATTTCCATGGTTTAGGGAGGGGGTGGGCCAGCCTTTGGAAGGTCCCTGCTCCCCTAAGGCCTGGGAACCTGAACTTTGTTTCACCCTACAGGTAAAATGGAATCTAAAGTCAAACTGGCAGTTCTTAAGACAAGGTGCTTTTTGCCTGTTCCCAATACCACCACCTGGGAATTGAACCTGGGTCCTCTGGAAGAGCAGCCAATGCTTTTAAGTGCTGAGTATCTCCACATTCCCATAAAAGTATTTTTTGAGAAACCTACATTTTGGAATATATCTTAAAGAAAAATTCTCAGCACTTAATATCCTAAAGAGTAAATTATGTAAAGACGTTAAAGCAGTATTTTTCTTTCTGTCTTGCCCAGTCTCACAGATATTCAGTCCCAAAGAAACACATAGAGGCTTATATTACAAACTTATATAGACTTATATTATTAACTATTAGGCCTATTAGCTCAGGTTTATTATTAACTAGTTCTTACAACTTAAATTAAGCCATAATTCTTGCCTATGCTTAGCCATGTGACTTGGTACCTTTCTTTAGTGAGGCATTCTCATCTTGGTTCCTCTGAGTCTGGCTGGTGACTGTGTCTCTGCCTTTCCTCTTCCCAGAATTCTCCTAGTCTAGTTGTCCCACCTATACTTCCTGCCTGGCTATTGGCCAATCAGCATTTTATAGTGTGTAAGAGCATTATCCCACAGCAATTACTCATAACACAGAGGGAACTGGAATCTTTCGTTTTGTTTTGTTTTTTGAGACAGTGTCTTATTATGTAGCCTTGGCTGGTCTGGAACTCTCTGTGTAGACTAGGCTGACTTTGTACTCACATAGATGTGCCTGCCTCTACCTCTCAAGTTCTAAGATTAAAGGCATGTGCCACCATGCCCTGCTGAAAAATGTATTTTCTTAAAGCTTTCTGTTAGACTATTATATATTGTATTATGGAATACACAGGCTCTAACAATTTTCTCTGGGTGTGTGGTGGTACAAGTCTTTAGTCCCAGGACTCCAGAAGGGTTCAAGGCCAGCCTGGTCTACGTAGCATGGTCTGGAATAGCAAGGGCTATGCAGTGAGACCAACTTAAAGAAAAAAAAAGAAGCCCCTGAATTACATTGATGGAAAGATGTTCATGAAATAATGTTAACTACAAAATATTTGTTTTGTAAAGATGCGCGTTTGTATTGTTTAATTGCTTTAAAAATGTTTCCTATTCTGTCTTTATCTTAGTCAACATTCCATTGCTGTGAAGAGACACCATGACCACAACTCTTATCAAGGGAAGCGTCTAGTTGGGGGTTGCCTACGGTTCAGAGGTCCAGTCCATTATTAGCATGGTGGGAAGCATGGAGGCATGGGGGCAGACATGGTGCTGGAGAAGGGTCTGAGAACACCTGGCAGGTTGCAGGAATAGAGAGACTGGCTTGGGCTTTTGAGACTTCACAGCCCACCCATAGTGACATACTTCCTCCAACAAGGCCACACCTCCTAATAGTGCTGTTCCCTGGTGATCCAACATTCAAAACCGTGAACCTATGGGGGTCATTTCTATTCAAACCACCACAGTCTTCAAACAAAATCTATTTCATGAAGGTCATACAGCACACACACATATATTTTGAAGTACATAAATATGCATTCACTAATACATTTTAGGTAATATCATTAACTAAATATAATAGCTATTTTATTTATTTATTTATATAATAGCTATTTTATTTATTGAATTTAATTTCAAAAAAAGAATTTCATACCAAGGTCATTCTATTGATATGCATTGTTCACAAAGACTCTGTACTGTCAAAAAATGGCGTTTGCTGAGAATGGGCCAAGTGAATGTCGTTAGTGTAGAAAGTCACTGAGCCTTTAGCCCACTAATGTGCATGACGGCTCCCACCCCAAAGTCTGCTGTCTTCATCTGTTTCACACTTACCTCACACACGGGAAGGACTTGTGCACATTTTATTTGCACCTATTTAATAATTGATCTCCCCCCATCAACGGGCACTTTGGAAGACTCGCGGTCACTCTGTCTTTCACGCTGTTCAAGAGTGCCGGCCATCCAGCGTTCATGGCAGGAACGCAGCAAAGGAGGTCTTAGTGAATGAGTTGTCGGAGAGCTCCAGGTGCTCAAGGTTTCCTTAGGCACTGTCATTTCAAAGTTACTCAATTGTCTACTAACTTCAAAGCAGAAATTATGTTAACACCTCCAGGCCACTAGAGAGCCATTTAATGAATCATTGCTGTACTTCAGTGGAATAAATTACTTCAGGGAACTGAGGATGTTTCTCAGAGACTGCTCATGACCTGGAAAAGGCTTGCGAAACTGGCTTTCTATGCTTCGAAACTGTAAGCAGAAAGCACTGGTGACAAATGGCCACCGGCTCATGAAGTGGACCAGAAGGCGCGGTGCTCTGAGCCGCAATGGCCATCTTTGGGGCGTGTTGGGCGACACGGCATTTTCCACCCACGGAGGATGTTTGCTTATTTTAATAGTTCAAGTGCGAAAAGCAGATATTCCTTCTGGAAACTGCACACTGTTGACTCATTTTTTGGGGAGGCAAATGATCTCACATATTACTTCATTTTTTACATAAGCAGAGCCCATGTCTAAATACCTTTTGAAGATATTTTAAATGTATAGTGTACTTGTGTTTTCTAGAATAATTTATTGTTTGTGCTAGCTAGAAAAAAAACTCGTAATAACCTTTGCGAGATATTACATAATGTTTTTGTTTAAGTGACAGAAAAGCTACATCTTCTCATCAAATGCGAAAGTCGCACGATTTTCTCCACTGGTACCCCAGAAGTGTTAGAAGTACCCTGCGGTTTTCATTATTTGACAGTGGTTGAAGTGGAATAATAAACACCGACACAAAACATGAGGGTTTTTTTCCTCAGTTACCAAAATGGAAAGTATTTTACCAGCTGTCAATGCGTCCACGTGGACCCTGACACTTCGCTAACCGCTGACTTTAAACCTTCACCCTATCTGGGGGTGGGGAAGAGATGCTTGCCACAAGGATCAAACAAAGGATGTTTCCCAAAAGGCTCTTGCAGAGGTTTATCTATGTGTGGCTTTCAAAGGGGAAAGTACAGTGCCCCGGGATCGATCCAAGACCCTCTTCTGGTTTTGCTCTGTTTTGCCTAGTTAATAAACCACCAAGAAAGATAATTTTTAAACCTAATTTGCTGAAATGAGATTTACTAATGTCTGGGGGGGGGGGGGAAGCACCAATTTGAGAAACTTTGATAAATTGATTAAAAAAATAAAGATTCCACTTTTCACCGAAAGGGTAAAGGATACCTAGCTACTTGGTAATCCAAAAGAAAGGAGGAAATTACAGAAAGTCAGAACCCAAGGTGCCCTTACACAGCTCAGCGAACCCTGGATGCTCCAAGGCCACTGCGGAGTCTGGAGGTCGGCAGCTCTCTGCAGACACGCAGGTCTCCTGACTCGCGGCTTAACCTTCCCCACAAGGCTCGCTCGCTCACTCGCTCGCCCCGGCGACAGTGAAGGTCGGGGTCTGCAGTCTAACCCCTGCAGTCGACCGCTGCGAACGGCCTCCTGTCCCGGGGAGTTTGAAAATGCGGTTCCTGGAAGGGCATTTCTGATCGTTCTCTTTCAAGGACACAATCGAGCCCGAAGAAAAAGCGCAGTTTCTTCGAGGTTTGTAGGGAACAGAGTAGCTCTGGAGAGAGGGGGTGGGAAGGGAGGGGGCACTCTGCAAAGCCAAGTCCCCAGCGGCGTGGCGAGCGTCTCGGAGGCAGTGGGGTGTAAATGCGGGCTGGGTTCACCAAGGGCTGCTTGCACCGGGGTCTCGGCGAGAGCGCGCGCAGACGTGGGGACGGCGGCCCGGGGTGGTCCCCGGCCCTCCCTGCGCCCCGCGCCCCCCAGCGCGTCACCGTCCCCCGCCCGCCCCCGCCTCTGCGCTCCTCCCCCTGCTCCTCCTCCCCGGCGCGGTCCGGCTGCGGGGGGCGGGAGATCGGCGGGCGGGAGGAGCGCTCCGTAGGCCCGGGAGCTCGGCCGGCCCTGGGCGCGTGGGAGCCGTGGCGCGGCGCTGCGAGGCCCGAAGAGGAGGGCGCGGAGGTGAGCGGGCTGGGGGACGGCCCGAGGCTGGCGGATCGTCCGGGGTCTCCGTGAAGCCGCATCCTTCCTCCGGGACTCGGCGGGCGCCGAGCTGGCCAGGTGGGAGGGGTGCGGAAGGGCGCCCGTGGCACCCATTCCGCCCCCTTCTCCACGCGGTCCTCCCGGAGCCCCGGAGGGAGTCCTCAGGTCAGGCCCAGCAGAAAGGAGGCCAGGAGAGACCTTGTCCCAGGTAGGATGTGCCCGAAAGGGAAAGGACCCGCAGGTTACTTTTACCAGTCACTTTGGGTTGATGCAGCGCTTTTCACTGTTAGGAAGCGCTGCTTGGCAAACAGGTAAATAATGCCAGCAGTGGCTTTGCTTATTGCTCACTGGTGTAATCCTGGTGTGTTCAGGCCATTTTGTGTTAGAAGTAATTGGTCTGTTTTTTTTTAGTGTCCTTAATTATCTCTGCGTCCCGTGTTCACCCTCGGCTGAAACTTGTTGAAAATTATGCCCTAAAAATCTTGTTCTTAAAATAACATAGGGAGATAGAGTTTTTTTTTTTTTTTTTTTGGACGGAGGTTTCCATTTATTATCGCCACTATCCCGTGGACAGGATTGGTGCCAGTTTTATATGCTGGCAGATAATTTTCTTTTCTTTCTTTCTTTCTTTCTTTCTTTCTTTTTTTTTTAGATAGAAAAACTTTTTCTGTGCCATCAGAAAATTAATTATCGCTCCATTACTGTAGGTGAAATAGATTCAGACTCCTGTCCCACCTCACCCTCGTTCCAGGAAACTGCCCCACCTCTTACAAGCTTCTGTCTCCAATGTACCACCCCACCCCTTCGATCTCTTTAGTATTTCTCTATTTAGTTGATCTTTTTTTCTTTCGTTGGCACCGTACTTCTCCTCACACTCAAGACAACCCATTTGGAGGGGAAAATGAGCATCCTGAGTATTCAGCCACATCCGAGCAGCTCCAGACAGCCTGGAGGTGCGAATGAGGTGGTGCTGGCGGCTGCAGTTTCTGCCTCCTAGCTAGTCCTTCAGATGGGGAGAGAAAGGAGACGGTTTCAGCAGTGATATGGTTAGCTAACTGTGAAAGATGAAAATGAGAAGCTTCGTCTAAATTACTTTCATTGTGCCGGTACCGTGGAAAATGTACTTCTACTGAATGAGCCTAATTGTGTTTTAATGCTGGAAACACAACACAGATGAAGGCAGAATTTTAAAATGTTTATAAATGATATAGAAAAATGAGAATAAAGAGACACCAAAAGCTGCAAAGGCGAGGCCTGTGAGAAAAGGGGCAGGCTGATATCAGGAAGTACAGTTACTCCCTGCTCAGCTTATTCCCATGATTCCGAGGTAGGCAAGACACTGGCAGCCTTGACATGACACATCCCTTAATCTTGGGACCCGCAGATCTTGACTCCCAGAAAAGAGAGGTCTGACCTCCAAAGAGAGGTCTGAGGCTTGTTACGTTTTCTTTGGCCTTGGCGTTTACAAAAATGCATTTAGTAACCAAGAATATTTATTGCATACGTAGTCAGTATGTGCCAGGCAGTGTGGTGGCAGGATGGATGTGTGTGTGTGTGTGTGTGTGTGTGTGTGTGTGTGGTGTGTAGTAAGCCAATGTTAGAAAAGCAAAATAAACAATTGTTTAACTCCCTTGGAACTTAACAAGGGTTGAAAGAGGATGGGGGTGGGCCGGAGTGAATCTTTCCGGTGAGGAGAAGTTTCCCGGTATGGAAAAGTGACTCAGTCTTCTCTACTTCTAGAAAAGGGTTCTGGTGTTGGGCAGTAGGAAATAAGGGTCACACAGGCAGAGGCTGTCACATCTGGGGCCATAGGTCACACAGTCAGGAAGGTGGCTGCGTCTCTAAGTTTAAGGGGCCACTGATGTTTTAAGGAAGAGAAGCATTTGTGGTAGTTTATGTCTTAAGATGACCTCAGCTCTTGGGTGGAGAATGGTTGGGTAAAGGGTGGAGATAAAGATGGAGATAGGCTGACCATTTAGAAAGTGCTTATATTGGTGACGTGTGCTTAGAGTGCCAGATCCTGAGGCAGGAGGATCTCTTGAGCCCAGGAGTTTGAGATGGGGCGGCGGGGAAGGGGGAGTCCTACATATCTGCAGTGAGAAAGGATAAACAGCTGGACTAGTTGGTATGCCAGCATCGGTGGAGAAAGCGTACGGAATATCTTAAAGGGGCTGTGCTTGGCGGCGCCTGCCTTTCCTCTCAGCAGTGGCAGGCAGACCTCTGGGAGGCAAGGCCTGCCTGGTCTGCATAGCAGGTTCCAGACGAGCCAGGGCAATACTGTGAGAACAAGAAGTATGTTGGAGAACAAGAGTTTACATCAAGGATGAAGGAAAGCAAAAGATAAAGATTGATTCCCCAGAGTTCTCGTCTGAACAACTGGTGGGAAATGGTACCAATTCAGTGAGGTGAAGGAGCTGAGTAACAGAAGCAGGAAAAGAGTTGACCTTTGGTTGCAGGGCGGTGGTGGCGCACGCCTTTAATCCCAGCACTTGGGAGGCAGAGGCAGGCGGATCTCTTTGAGTTCGAGGCCAGCCTGGTCTGCAAGAGCTAGTTCCAGGACAGGCTCCAAAGCTACAGAGAAACCCTGTCTTGAAAAAGCCTATAT